CAGAGGTGCAGAGGATTCATCAGAGACAGAGGGGGGAACAGAATGTGCAGATTGAGGAAGAACACTGCTGAGGGGAGCAGTGGGAGGGTCAGGAGAGGTCTGCTGCTCCACATGGGTCACATGGCAGTGTCACTGAAGCAGCTGCAGCTGACTTGCAGTGCTGCATTTTAACCCGTTGTGCCACTGTGGTGGGCCACACTTTGGGATTCTTAAATACTTGAGTACTATCAAAGTGATTACTTTATGTTCTGAGCATTTCTCTGAATCCTTGGGATCTATCTTGTAGTAAGCCAATGCAAACCAGTGTACTTTGTGTCCTAGGGGTCCGTGACATTTAAGGATGTGGCTGTGAACTTTTCCAGAGGAGAGTGGAAGAAGCTGGAGCCTTCTCAAAAGGAGCTTTATAAGGAAGTGTTACTGGAGAACTTTAGGAACCTAGAATTTCTAGGTAAAGGCATCGTTTCTTCATGAGCTAGCACTTAAGTTTGGTTCCTTTTTGTCCATTTCAGAAAGGTTAAGGGCTGTATAGAGTACTTCAACTGTTTCTAGCTGGGAATGCAGGGGTGATATGATGAATTCTAAAAATGGGTCCTGAAAATATATTTTCTGCAGCATTACTTATAAAAAAACAACAACAAAAAAAGTCTGCTTCACTAAACTTGAAATGTTGAGCATCATTTTGCTGTCATCAAGGCCAATACCTTCCCCCATATTCTTCCTCCAATTCCAGTATTGATGCCTGTACTTGACAGCATCTTCTGTTCCCTAGAGAGCTTGAGGCTAAGTATGAATTTTGGGATGTCTTTGTTCCATATATGAGCAGCAACTTTCTACTCTTTTCTCTGAGCAGGTTTTCCGGTTTCCAACTTAGATTTAATTTCACAGTTAAAGTGGGTTGAACTACCCTGGGTGCTGGAAAAAGAAGTCTCAGAAGCCTTGAGAATAGGTAAGTTGGTGAAAAATTGTTTACCAAGTCTTTGGAAAGAACTTTTGAAATGTTGGGCTAGGATAAATGCTAAAATACAAAGATGATGTGACTAGCTCCTTTGCCTTCCTGGAATGTTCATTTTAGTGGGTAGACTGAGTTTGGGTCCTCAGAGAAGTGTCAAGACAAGATATGATTTGCCTTGCCAGAGACTGAACGAAACAGATCAAACATGTGGGCATGAGAAACAGAAGAAAGTCGAAGAAAGTTGGGCAAGGCCTAAAAAAAGAGTCCTTGAGTCAGAATTGAGCCCATCTAACAGAAGAGTCCTGTGACTCCCAGAAGAGTCCTGTGACTCACAAAATAGACCTAAATATTGCTGTCATGATGGCTGACCGGGACATGACTTTGGAGTGCAGACTACGAAGGGTTCACAGGGCAGCAGCAGGGTGATAGGGATGCAGCCTGTCAGAGACCTGAGAGGAGCATTTTTATGAGTGCCACAGAGGCGGATGCCAGTGTTAGCAGTGCAACGTGGGCTATCATTATGGCATGTATAGTAAACAGAGGGAATATACAGGTGCAAAGACTGAATTGGCATTTACAGTGAATCCTGAAGAATAAATAATCACCCAATGGACAGTGTCCATACTTAATCCCATTTTTGTTAAAAAGGGAAAAAGTACATATACATGTGTATGTTTAATATATAGGCATACATAGAATTTTCATATCTGAAGACCATTTATATTAACTCTACTTACCTTTGAGGGATTGCAGTTTTTTCTTTATCCTTAAACTTCAGTAATAATTTTTTTAATTTACATTTTAAAAATAAAAAATAGTTGTATAGCAATAGCTCCGTTTATTTTCAAGAAAAAGTAATTCCTTATGCCCAATACATCTTTACTATCCATTTTATAATATCCACTGGCTGTTTTCAGTATAATGAAAAAAACGATCGGCAACGATTGATTATGGCTTAAGTGGAATTGGGAGAATAATTCCAAAAGTGAATTCTAAAAATGTTTTAAGTAATTCTAACAGCCTGTGTGCCTTCTCCCAAGATGCTTGTGTAACAGAACATCCTTTAGATGTACAATTTGTTTAAAAGTAACTTACAACACACTTGGTAAGAAAATTTCTGATAGACAACTACCAATTGCTGTAATGTATAAAAAGCCCATGTAAAGGGGACTCTTGAGTCCTTTAATCCTTAGGAAGATGGGTAAAGAACTTGAATAGAAAACTGTCAAATTGAAAAATAACTGGCAAGCTTTAAAAAAATCTAAATAGCTGTGGGCAAGAAAAGTTCAGAGTCTCTGGTCAATATATTATGAATCTGCAACGATTTACAGGTCGTTTGATCAGAGATAAGTGCTCAGAAACTTATGCCCATCATTGTCGAGTGGTGTGATTTTTCCATCTTTTGGCTCAGTAACCCTTTCATGACTCTTTACTGAGAACATATTAATTATTTCATAAATATTGAATGACGAATAACTAAAGCATCATAACCCACATAACAGATTACATATAATTGATTAAAATTACTTGTGTGAAAAATTACCAAAGAGGGGAAAAATTACATATGGAAAAACATAAACATATTCTAAAATATGTAGAAAGTTTTCTAGAAGAAAATACAGACTTTTTAATAGATGTTAACTTTGGGGTAATCAGTTATCTGTTTAAAAAGTACTTTTTTGAAAGTAACAACGTGATGTCATGCTTAAAATCCAGGATGAACAATAACGGCTAATAAATTAATTCAAAGTTCCAAGAAGAACATAAACAGTGAGCATATGGTATTGGTGAAAGTTCTGTGGAGACTTGAACTCTAAGTCCTATGAATTTATATGATTGTAACAGTGAGGGTGCTATGGGATTACATACAGGTATGCATTTGAGACTAAAAGAACAGAATTAAAAACACTGTAGTGTAGTGGGAACAGCAAGTGGATGCCTGATTTTAGAGAATCCATAAGGTTGCTGAGGCCAGATTTGGGTAAAATAATTGCTGCAAATCTGGGCAACATTTGTGTGTAACATTTTCTATAAACCTAGTGCTATTTGGCTGCTTTGGCTGCTATTTGATAAGGATCAAAAGTTTGGACTTTGACGTCAGACTGTGTGAAAAAATCTGCTGTATCAGGCAGGCTGCTTACAGTCTTAAGTACTTCACATGCATAGAACAGGAGCAATCGTAGACATTCACACACATTTCTGAAAATTACATGAAATACAAGTGCACAATATGATATGAAACCTGGCTTTGGGTAAATATAAATGTTCACACTATCATCATCAGTTTGGCAAGAGAATGGATTGGCTGTGTGGAGAGTAAGTTTGAGCCTATTACAAAAACTTGAAATGAGGATGAGAACTTTCATCTTCCTTAAAATTTTCTTAGCCCTTGTTTACATAGTCTCCCTAAATCACCTCCCTCTCCTGTTATATAAGACTCTGAGAACTGTTCTTGTTCCTTATAGCCATTACTGTCTATTCCTATGTCATTCCCAAATAAGCTTCTTTATTGCAAACAGGAAATATTCTGTTATTTCTTTTAGAGTGTGATCGTAGAGGTGAATTGAAGGAATCTGTTCGAAATCAAAATGTCCTTATGGAAGAATCAACTTTAGAGAAAAAAATAGAAAGATACCTGAGGGGTCATGACTGTGGTTTTATAGGAGAATCCTGGAAACATTTTGGCAGCTTAGAAGAGATTTTCAGTAATAAGGACTATTCACATGTAGCAGTCACACAAAAGAAAAGTCATGGGAGAGGCAGTAAGGGTGAGGGATTTGATCCAGAAAAGACCCCCTTTGGAAATAATTTCAAACAAACTTCAGACATAATTAAACATTTGAGAGTCTACTTACGGAAGAAGTCTCGGAGGTATAATGAATGCAAGAGACCCTTCAGTTTTCATTCAGATCTCATTCCGAACCGCAAGGAACATGCTGGAGAAAAATCACGGAAATCTAATGAAGGCAGGAAAACCTTAAGTCATTCTTCATCTCTTACTGAACATCAGAAACATCAGAAAATTCATCTGGCAGATAAATCACAGAAGTGCAATAACTGTGGGATCGTCTTGCCTCAAAACAAAAACACCTCCATGTGTGAGAAATGTTGCAGAGATTTGAGTCAAGAGCCAATCTTAAATAAAGATGAAGGAACTGATACTGGAGAAAAAACCCATAAATGTAGCAAATGTGGAAAAGCCTTTGGCTATAGTGCCTCACTGACCAAACATCGGAGAATTCACACTGGGGAGAAACCTTATATGTGCAATGAATGTGGAAAAGCTTTCAGTGATAGTTCATCCCTCACACCTCATCACAGAACTCATAGTGGAGAGAAGCCTTTCAAGTGTGATGATTGTGGAAAAGCTTTCACCCTGAGCGCTCACCTCATTAAGCATCAGAGAGTCCATACTGGAGAAAAGCCCTATAAGTGTAAAGAATGTGGGAGACCCTTCAGTGACAGTTCATCTCTAATTCAACATCAGAGAATTCATACTGGAGAAAAACCCTATACTTGTAACAATTGTGGAAAATCCTTCAGTCACAGCTCATCCCTTTCCAAACATCAGAGAATTCACACTGGAGAGAAACCCTATAAATGTGGTGAATGTGGGAAAGCCTTTAGACAGAACTCTTGTCTTACCCGTCATCAGAGGATTCACACTGGGGAAAAACCATATTTGTGTAATGATTGTGGGATGACTTTTAGCCACTTTACATCTGTCATTTATCATCAGAGACTTCATTCAGGAGAAAAACCCTACAAATGTAACCAATGTGAAAAAGCCTTCCCTACCCATTCACTCCTTAGTCGCCATCAGAGAATTCATACTGGTGTAAAACCTTACAAATGTAAAGAATGTGGAAAATCTTTCAGTCAGAGTTCATCTCTCAATGAGCATCACCGAATTCATACTGGAGAGAAACCCTATGAATGTAACTATTGCGGAGCAACCTTTAGTCGAAGCTCAATTCTCGTGGAACACCTGAAAATTCACACTGGCAGAAGAGAATATGAATGTAATGAGTGTGAGAAGACTTTTAAGAGCAATTCAGGCCTCATCAGGCATCGGGGATTCCACTCTGGAGAGTAATTTTGGATTATGGTAAGGTGGGGGTATCTCTGCTCAAAATTGTCCCTTTTAAAAAACCATGCGAATTCCCATGGCATCAATTAGTATCTGCAACTTTGATAGGTTGGCAGCTAGGAGTAATCTTTCCCTGCTCATTTACACTCTTGTTGCCAGGATGTCAGCTTCTGGTAGGTTATCATTAAGATTAATAACGTCACATGGAAAGAAAGTCAAGAGAGTAGTATGAGACTTGGAAGTGATTCTGACAAGCCAGATGTGAATTTTAAAAAGAGGGGGATACACAGAACCTTCCTTATCTTCTTTTCAGACTTCCTTTTCTTCACTCCTTCATTGCCATGTACAGTAAGAGGAAGAGGCATTGACTGGAGGAAGAGGAACTGGATTCTGTCCCAGTTTGCCAAGCAAGTCCCTCTCTAACCTTGAACAAATCTAACCTTGAATTTTAGTTTCTTTATTGGGAGGATGGAATGAGTGAGACTCATGATTTCTTGTTTATTTGTTTGTTTATTTATTTATTTGTTATTACTCTGAAGTTGGGGGGATTTAAGCTAAACATTTTTGATTCCTTGGCATGTTCAAGTCTCCCCAGCTGAAAAGTCCTCACTCAGGATGCTGAACTTCAGCATAGTGAGAATGCAGTCTATTTTTTGAATACTTGATGCTAGCATACAATCACGACAATATTATAGCCAGGTTTAAGTCACTGAAACTCAGACAAGTTTGTTTTCAGGGAATTTCTTCATTGGTCAGAACATCGCACCCTGCTTCTCCTCTGACTGAGGAGGTTGGGAATCAAGTGGGCATGTACCTGGACCATCTCAGTTGTGAGAATGACAATTCTAGGAAAGTAGATTGGGGCTTTGGGGAACAAGTGGGAAGGAAACGGGTGTTGATAATAGTTTTAGAAAGTTTATCTTTTGAATAATAGAATTATATTTTTTAATGTTTGCCTATACTAAGAAGAATGTCCTATATATATTTAGAGTGTAAACAGGCAGAGGGCATAAGCTAAGATTGGGCCATTGAACATGGTCAGTTGTTCTGCCTGGTATACTGTGTGTGTGTGTGTGTGTGTGTGTGCAATTAGCTGCCACCATTTAAAAATTAGGAATTTTTCATACCAAAAAAAGAAAAAGGCTTATCTTGAAAAATTATAAGGGGGAACAACACTGGTCCCCTATTTCATTGGGTATTCCACTGGTTTTAGGTAATATCTACTGCCTTTTAAATGGAAAATCAACTTCTCTGTAAGCTAAATGTACTTATTTATTTAATCTGACTTACTTATTTCTGACTATAGGAATCTGATATGATCCCCTTCCACTTGGTAAATATATGTTCTAAAATTTAAGGACAAGAATACAGAAATGATACAAAATATATCTTAAGTCTTCTGTTGTGAAATTAGACTGAAGAAATGGAGTACAGATATGTTGGTCACTAATTCCTTGTAAATTTCATTGTGGCATCTGAACAGTAACTTCTAACCGGAAAAGCAGCTCAAAACCCTGAGTCATCTGGGCCATGGCGTTTGCCACTGACAGTGGCACCTGGCTCCCTGAAGCTGAAATGAGGCCGCTTCTATAGAAAGATAATTAAACCAGATAAGTTCAGCTTGTGAACGGGAAGAGATCCTTAATGCTCACCTGCAATTTGGCAATATTTGGCAAGGTTTACTTTGGCACCACTACTCCTGGATATTCTTGCTTTCTTCTTTGTGACCCTAGACTGCATGGGATGGGGGGCGGGGGAGGGGGAGATTATAATTTAAATATTATCATGCTAGACTTATCTATATAGTTATTGCTATACAGACTAGTCAAAACCTTCCAAGCGATGAAAGGAATATGGTTTATGAGAATCATAAACCCTGGTTTAGGTTTTCTTCTGTAGATAGGCATCCTGGTTTGTCTTTTCTGAGAAAATTGAATTTATAGAAGGCATCAAGTATGTCAAATTCTTGAAAAAGCTTGTTCCAGGATGTTTCCTACTTATATTCCCCAAAATTTGTACCAATATCAGTTGGTAATCTGGAGTATAAACTTTTATGAGGTATAAATTACATATCATAAAAATCATTCCAAGTGTCCAATTCAGTGAGTTTTAGCAAATTCGCTGAGTTGAGCAGTCACCATAATCCATTTTTAGGACACTGTCACCTCATGAAGGTCCCTCAAGTCATTAACAGTTAAACCCCAATCCCAAGCCAATTTTTCTCTGTCATCATAGAGTCGCCTTCTTTAGACACTTCATATAACTAGAGTTACACTGACACTGAAAGAAGTTTTCACTGACATATGTCTAAACTCATCCATGTTGTAGGATATCAGGACTTTATCTCTAGTACTGTTTCATGGGGCCCCCTTGTATAAGGATACCACATTTTGTCCTTTCACAGTTGAAGGTTGTTTCCAGTTTGGGCAGTTAAAAAGAATCTATTGTGTGGATATACATTTTCATTTTTCTTAGCTAGATGGCTGAATGGAGTCGCTGGGTCATTAAGTCAACTTTTAACTCTTTAAAAAATTGCCAGTTGTTTTCCAAAATATTTTTCACATTCTGAGAAGTCATGACTCTGGATTTTGGCCTCACTAGTCCTTGTTACTGTCTTATAGCCATCCCAGTGTTTGACATGGAAATCTGTGGTTTCAGTTTGCATTTGCCTGATGATTTATGACAGGGAAACTCTTCATGTTCTCTTCACTATTCATCTATCTTCTATGGTGCAATGCATCGTTTTTTGTTTTTTGTTTTTTAAAGATTTATTTATACATACAGAACTGGGGTACAGGCCAGGGGTACAGGGGTGGTGAGAGAATCCATCAGGGACAGAGTGGGGAGCAGAGCAAGCCGACTGATGAAGTACACTGCTGAGGGGAGCAGTGGACAGGTCAGGAGAGGTCTGCCGTGCCATGTCAGTCACCTCAGAGGCTGGGGATGGAACTCGCACAGAAGTGTTGTGGCTCACTTGCAGTGCTGCGTCCTAACCCGTTACATCACCAGGGAGTGCCTGCATCGTCCATTTTTAAAACTAGGGGCTAGTCGCAAGTGCTTTCATTCTGGACGTAAATTTTTTATCCAGTAGTGTCATGTCTCACTACAGAGTGCTAGCCAGAGGGCAACCACAAACCCCAAGCACAAGATTGATCAAAAACTTTGTTTAGGTAACCGAGGATGTATAAATTGCATAACGAATATTCAATCTCGTCATCATCCGAATCCTTAAATTCATTTTTTGAAGATGTCAGTCCATCAGAAGATTGTAAACTTCTTTGACTCCTTATAGAATTGATATGAACCTGTATTAACTTAACGGTTAATACAGTTGTCTAATTGGTGGGTACTAAAATCAGCTGTGACACATTTTGCTTTAAAATGAAGGCCTTGCTTTCAAAAGTGTTTCCTCTTAATGATTTTCTGTTGAAGAAATTTCTTAAATTCTTAATGTGGTAAAATATGCACAGTATTGTCCATTTTGGGATGTACAATTCCATGACAAAGCAGATGCACTTTGTTGTACAGTTTTCATCACTGTTCACCGCCAGAACTTTTCCACATCCCAAACTGAATCTCTAGTCGTGAATATCTGCTCATTCTCCCTCCGCAGGTCCTGGTAAGCACATAATACTTTTCTATGAATATGACTGAGTACCTCATGCAAATGCAGTCAATCATTATTTCTCTCTCCTTTTGTGTCTGATTGGTTTCATTTAGTATAATATATTTAAGGTTTGTATGGCATGTGTCAGAATTTCATCCCCTTTTTAAAACTGAGTGATATTCCATTTATGTATTCAGGTGACTACCATCTCTTGGCTATTGTGGATAATACGGCAGTGAACATGGGTATGCAGACACCTCTCGATTCCATTTTTAAGCTTTGGGACATATACTCAGAAATAGGATTGCTGAATTATGGCAGTGGGCAACCACTGGAAGTTCCTTGTGTGTGTGGTAGATATTAATAGAGACTGTCAACCTTAAAAATAAAATAGCCAATTATATTTTTCCAGCAAAATGCTTTGCCTCTGGAATTGGCTAGCTCGCATATGTTAGGGAGAGATACCTGGTCACCTGTCACTGCCACTCATGCCAGTGAATGGGAAAAGGCTCCCCATAGGTGCAACAGTGACACCCCCAGGAAGCTCCTGTTCAAAATGACAAAAGCTTAGTGGGAGGGTTCAGGTTTGTTATGACCACCAACAAGGGCAGTCATGATGCAATGCACTGACCTCTGGATCACCAGCTGCCTACTCACATCCCCATGGGAATTGCCTTCTGCCAGCGACAAAAATCAGGTGGAGTGCAGAGGACTCCACAATGTCTGATTACTGATGGGTCTCTTAACTGAAAGTCCCTGGTTAACCCTTTCAAGCCAAGGGTCAGAAGAGATAGGGTGACATCCTATGAGAAGCCACCCCATCCTAAAGAGCCTTCCCTGGGAACCTTGGAGAGAGCTAAATCCTGTGTGCAGATGACCCTGGAACCAGGTGGATTTGGATCACTGCCCTCAAGCCTGCAGTTGAAAAGCCACTTACAACTTTTGACCTAAAAATGTGACTAGCCATTCTTTGGTGTCCGTGGGGGTTTGGTTTCAGGTCCCCTTGTGAATACCAAAATCTGAGGATGCTCAAGTCCTTCGAGTCTCCCCTCAAGATCCATGGCTTCACATTAGGGGAGTCAGCAAGCCATAAGTGGAATGTGGAGTCCGTGGACAGGAAAAAAGTTTGAATGGACAAAATCAAGCAATTCAAGGGCTAACTGTATTTTCCCTGGCTGGAGGGATACAGATTGCACTTAGATTATAAAGAGAATGTGGGGATATGGAGATTTATGCTGTTTGGGCTAGTGAATTCATGACTGTGAAGAGTTACAGCAAGGTATGGGTGCACCTGATGTATAGAAAACTTGAAGTCCACAGACTTACAGATATCAAAGTCAGTAACCTTTGCAACTAAAAAATGAAATGGGTTATAGTTAAGACCGAAGGGTCTCCAACA